ATCCAAGATGACAAAATTATGGCCACCATAAGTGAAGTGAATGCAATCAAAGGAAAGGTTCCCGGGTGGTGGTATGATACTTGTGCTACAGTAAATATGTCATATGATAAGTCTTTGTTCAAAACTTATTAAGAAGTGGATGGAGAACAAGAGATTCAAATGGGTAACGAGATGCGGTGCAAGGTATTTGGAAAAGGAAGTGTAGACATTATCTTCATTTCTGGAAAACCGTTACTCTAACTATATGTTCCAAATATGAATAGGAACCTAGTTAATGGTAATCTCTTGGGAAAAGTCGGCATCAAATGTGTCTATGAGTCCGGTAAACTTGTATTATCCCTTAACGAAAAATTTGTTAGAAAATGCTATTCTTGTAGAGGAATGGTCAAATTATGTATCGTTGACAATAAAAAGAATAAAACTAATTTTGCTTATGTTGTGGATTTATTTTCATTATGGCATGCCAGATTAGGACATGTTGGTAAAAGTACCATGAAACATATGAAAAAATGTGACATGATCTTATATGATGAAACTGATGGAGACAAATGCAAAATATGTGTAGAATCTAAAATGATTAAAAAACCATATCAAAGTGTTAAAAGAACTTCTAGTATCTTAGAATTGATTTATACTGATATATGTGAACTTAATGGTATGTTAACTAGAGGTGGAAATAAATATTTCATAACCTTTATAGATGACTTTTCTAGACATACATATGTTTATTTGATAAAACATAAAAGTGACGCCATTGATATGTTTAAGGCATACAAGAATGAAGTTAAAATATCATCTAGGAAAGAAAAATAAAATTTTAAGGAGTGATAGAGGTGGTGAATACTTTTCTAGCGATTTTAACTTGTTTTGTGAACAACAAGGAATTATTCATCAATGTTCTACACCTAGGACACCCGAGCAAAACGGCTTGGCTGAAAGAAAAAATACAACCTTAGGTGACATGACTAATGCCATGCTTATTCATGCTAAGTTGCCATTTCACTTGTGGGGTGAAGCTTTATTGAGTGCATGTAGAATACTTAATAGAATTCCTTCAAAATATACTAAGGTTTTTCCTTATGAATTGTAGAAATGAAGAAAATCGAACATTGGATACTTCAAAGTGTGGTGGTATCTTGCTTGTTGCAAGAAATGAAATCCTAACAGGACTAAATTGGGTCCAAGAGGCATTAAATGTGCATTTGTTGGATATGCAAACAATACCAAACCTTATAGATTGCTGAGTTTGGAGTCCAATGTGATTATCAAATCCAACGATGTGGAGTTCTTTGAGAATTCATTATCTTCGGATAATGAATTGAGGGAAAATCTTGAAAATTTCCCTAGCTCAAGTGGAATACATGATGAAATATCTTCTAAAAATGTTGATGAATCTAGTGAACTACAAAGAAACAAAAGAACTCGGGTTGAGAAGTCTTTAGGACCGGATGAAATCGATTCTCAACTTATCTCCTTTTACTTAGTAGAGGGAAATGAGTTGAATGTTATGAGAACAATTCCTTTTGTTGTACAAGTGAAAATTGACCCTAAGACTTATAAAGAAGCTATGGCTTCAAATGATAATATCTTTTGGAAAGATGTAATTAAGGACGAAATGGATTCAATAATATCCAACAATACTTGGAAACTTGTCGATTTGCCACCAGGATCCAAACCTATTGGATGCAAATGGATATTTAGCAGAAAATATAATGTTGATGGGTCCCTAATTACTTTCAATGATGGATTGGTAGCCGAAGGATATCGACAAAAGGAAGGAATCGACTATTTTGATACTTATGCACCGTTAGCTAGAACAACATTGATTAGGATATTATTCACTTTAGCTTCAATTTATGACTTGCATGTTCGTTAAATGGATGTTAAGACGGCATTCTTAAATGGAGATCTCAATGAGGAGGTCTATATGGAACAATCCGAAGGGTTTGCCCTACCTAGAAATGAACATAAGGTGTGCAAGTTGGTGAAATATTTATATGGCCTGAAACAGGCACCTGAAAAATGGCATGAGAAATTTGACTTAGCAATAATATCATTCGGGTTTAAACATAATAGCATAGATAAATTTTTATACTCTAAGGTTTGTAATAATTGTGTGACATTTATAAGCTTATATGTTGACGACATGTTGATCACGTGGATAGTATAAAAGAAATGAAGAGGTTTCTATCTTTCACATTCAACATGAAGGAATTTGACAGGTGGATACCATTT